AGTGACATCATATCAGTGATGCTTGAAGAAGTACCCCATGTATTTGTTACTTCTATGCTGGACTGCTATAGTTCCTTATTATAATGAGGTTGTCCCTGAAAAGCCTTCAGTCAATCCAAAGAGCACCACAGCGAGAGGCCTAAATGGGACTAGTAAGAAAGATCATTCTTGTTTCATTTCAGGGTCTCCGTTAAATCCAGAACTTTAAAATCCTTTCTATATAAAAAGTCTTGAATGATCAGACCCTGTTATGCCATTTAAGGCTTACTAGGGGCGATCGTGGCTCAAGAGTTGGCAGTTCGCCTTGTAATCGGAAGATTGCCAGTTCGAGCCCCGGCTTGGACAGTCTCGGTCTTTGCGTCCTTGGGCAAGACACTTCACCCGTTGCCTACCGGTGGTGCCAGTGTCCGGCAGCCTCGCCTCTGTCAGTGCGCCTCAGGGTGGCTGTGGCTACAACATAGCTTGCCATCACCAGTGTGTGAATGGGTGGATGAGTGGTTGTGTAAAGCACTTTGGGGTCCTTAGGGACTAGAAAAGCGCTATACAAATACAGGCCATTTACCAGTTGTTCCTAGAGTTTCTAAAAGTAAAATGGGAGGCAGAGCCTTCAGCTTTCAGGCCCCTCTTCTGTGGGACCAGCTCCCAGTTTGGATTGGGGAGACAGATACCATCTCTAGTTTTAAGATTAGTCTTAAAACATTCATTTTTTTAAGAAGATGGATTAAGATTAGGACTTGATCTGGATTACTGTTTACTGTTTAAAAGGCTCAGGGTCCTGGGGGACCAGGAACACTGCTTCTTTACTCCTCTATTTTTACTCCCAAATGTGATTACATGCTACTAATAAGATCCATGATGGTGCCAGTGTGCTCGGCACACCGTCTCTTTGAGCTCTGTCTACTGTTTGCTATCCTATTTTCTCAGTGTTATCCTGATGCCTTTGCTAGAAAGCAATGGCTCAGTTTCACCATTGTCGATGTGCAACTTGTCATAACCAGTGATTAATAGGCATGAATACCATTCACAGAGAGTCAAGGAATGGCTGCAATCTCAGCATTGTAAGATGGTGAAAGATGTACTCTTAATCCCCCCTCCCTCAGTTTAAAGATGGTCATTTGCCACCTTGACGCCCAGCTCAAACTAGCAGTCCTGCTTGTCCAGGATGTGTACATCCTCATCATCGAATGTTACTGGACTGTAGAGTCCTGATCTGAACAGTTAGCTGTTTTATACCATGTGTTTTGTATTAAATTTTATCTGCTATATCCCATAGTTCATGTTTTGTTCTACATGTTGTTCGGGGTCTCTCTGTGCTCCTATTTTCTGTCTTCTATTTGCTGTCACATCTGCCTTCCCTGAACCTTATTCTATCCTACTGCATTACTGCTGAATAGATTTGGTTGGCTACACAAAGGTATTTGGTTTTAAGGTAGGATAGACTTTTTGGTGTCTAATGCTTCCAATAGGTTTTGGATGGTAGGTACTGTGTGGGGAATCTATTTGGTCAGCTGTAGCATGGTGGTGAATTTGAATAGAGCTACATGCTCAGGAACAACTGCAGTGGTTATAGTTGGCTCACTGGTGTAACCAGTTGCCTGACACTGCCAACTGCCAAAAGACCAGGGTTGAGTTGGTGAGTAGTGGGACTGTTCCTCAGTTTTCCACTCTTGCAGAGCCCACTGCTCCTGATTTGTGGGTGATTTTGAATATCGGTTCTTCGGAAGCTCCTCCATTGGAATCATTTGATCAGTGCTCAAAGGACTATCACTTAGAGATTGTTGAACATTTTGTTAGCAACTTGTTATAGGAACACTGTTTGACCTTTGTGTTAAGACTACAGGTCACCTTTGGTTAGGGTCATTTGCTACTTAGCAAACTTTCCGTGTAACCCCTAACAGGTGTAACCATATAGAGGCAGCTGCCATCCGGTTAAGGTGCCTAGCATATAACTGTTCGTTTTGCATGTTTTTTTTAGTTCATCCTCCCATCTCAAATATGCTCCAATTACTAAGATTGCAGAGAAGGTAAGCGTCAGCACTACAGGCCAACAGTGGCTGTCAATCTAGACTCTTAATATATGACAAGTGCAAGAATAATGCATTTGGGCATATTTAGCTATTTGTGTTTGGGTAAACCGGAGACTCTTTTGATGACCCCTCCACTCTGCCTGCTTGATCCTTCCACTTGTTTTGGTAGGAGCATTCTCACACCCCACATGGCTGATCTTGCCACTCAAAGCTTCCTTTCACTTTAAGTTTTTTTGGTTAAAATCTATGTGGAAATCTTTTTTTGTTGTTCTTTTTGTCTGAACTTTGAGCTGGTTCATGACAGTGTCTCTGAATCATTTCCAGTAGAAGGATACTCAAACAACTGGCCATTATTATGTCGTACGTCTATTACAGTATTTTTAGATAATGGTAGCAGTCAATCTTTCACTGTGCATTGTTCCCCAGTAATGTACTTTTCTCGAAAATAAACAGCTACTCAGTAAAACACTGCTGCATATTGCAACAGATGTTGAAAGTGCCAAGACATGCGAATTGGATTTTACTGCTTTTAAGATAACTACCAACCAGAGCACCAGTTTAAATTTAATTTCACATGTCAGGTTTTGAAAGCTCATTCTAATTTATGTTTTAAATATATTAAAACATCCACTCCGGTTTTCAAAACAAAAATGCTTCAACAATAAAGCATTTTAGAAAATCACTATTGCACAAAGTTTAAACGCATTATTAAAATGACTTCTTCACTGATCATAATGGCAGGTAATGTCTAAAATGTTTACTGGATGAGTTTCCATCCACATAGGTTTTCTTTGTATGTGGACTGCATATTTCAAGTATGTTGCATAAGCAATCATGACTGGCCTCCAAACTACTTTCAAATTGACCTTGTGTGTTCATTTCAAACCTTTTAAAGGTTTCTCCCTTCGTCAGATGAATGGAAAAAAAACTCTGCAAATATCCAAGGGAATAAACAGCAAGCCAAACATGTCTTTGAATGAAGAGTGGTTTTATGTAAGTCTCTTTTCTTTGGATAAAATATCGGGAAAACAACACATTTTAGTCACGGCAATTATAATCAAAAGAAGACTGATACGTCCAGCATCAGTTATTCATGTCTAATGACACAGCTCTGTCCTACATGAGGCATCAGCACGGATCAGTCATAACAGACACTGAATAAGTTAGATACAGTGTGGAAAGTGGAGGTGGGTTGCAAAGCGGTGTGCAGATGTACTTTTAAGCAGGCTAAACCAGCTTGTAGAGCTTGCCCAATTAGTAAGGTTCTGTGAGACAGCAGACTGGATGTATAGAAGCGTATCAGCAGAATCAGCAGCTGATGTGGGCTAGCAATGAGATGGTAGCTGAGGTTGACTTTCTGACCTGCCTGAAATAAGCCTATGCTAGATTACAATTTATTGTAATGATTTGGTATTTTTTCAAATAGAGTAATAATCAGGGTTGCTGTAGAAGATTTTTGAAACATTTTGAAACCATATGCACCTGAGATATGTTATGAAGAAGACTATAATTGAATGAAATATGTGCACAAAGAAAATGCTTTATAAGCTGATTTGGATTTAAATTAAACACTTCTAAATGCCTGGCTGTGGCCCAGGTTACCAGTGTAACTAAAAGGCTGCCAGTATTCTTCACAGCTATGTGCATGGATATTGCCAAGCAAAGACGAATATAAAGAGCATGTTTTTTCTTTTTGTTTGTTGTTTTATTTAGACAAGTTTTCTGGATGTGTATTTTAGTGTGGGGACAGGTAAGTGGGGGGTTTTTCGGTGCTAAACTCCGGTTTAGGAGTTTAGCAATGCTAAATTACTGCATAGGGATTAGCAGTTCCCAAATCAAATGAGGTTAATTGCACATTGCAACAGAGGGATGAGAGACGTATTTAGAGGATGGGGGGGAAGGGGGAGGAGGGGCGTCTCGACTGGCCTCGACTGTGTTCCTGACTGTGGCAGCTCAAAAAAAAAGTTGTGTCTGTGTTTGATCACCAAGAAAATCCTCCTGTGTCAAACTTCCTCCGACTCCCAACTTCAAAAAAAAAAAAGAAAAAAAGACCCCAAATCAAAGAGCAAGAAAAAAATCCACCGCACAACCCTCAAAATAGCATAAAGAGAAATATGTATCAAAATATCATCAGTCATCTTTCTCCAAGAAACAAGTCCAAAAGAATAAGGAATGTGTGTGTGTGTGTGTGTGTGCGTGTGTGTGTGTGTGTGTGTGGGAGGGGGAGGGGCGGCAGATGAAAGTGCAGATAAAATCACCTCCGTGGTATCAGTGCTGCAGGTAGGAGATAAATTAAAAGCAGGCTGAGAGTTCTGTGCCCTTATTCCAACAGCTTATTAGACCTAAATCTTCCAAAGCGGGGCATGAGTGTCCTTGCATGTCCCCACCCTCCTTTTCCTTTTTTCCCCTAACTTGATTTGATGTTATCATCACTGACTTGGAATAGAGCTAGCTTAATATTTGTGTAGCTCCTTATTCAACAGCAATTTGATCCTTGAGCCGGAGGTTGAGGCGCAATAATAATGCACCTTATTGTGTAAGCAGGTCTCAATAGGTGCTTTGTTGCTCAAAATCCTGACAACAATTTGGTTTCGGGGACAATGCCGTTCAGCTGGCCAATGTATTTTCAAGGGCACGGTGTTGATGGTGGTAGCCGAGGCCGGCTATTATTTGAGAGGAAGAAAAGGACCTCTGGAAAACAGTGGAGATGGCTTAATAATGGGTATCTGGGTTCCATTAGCCAGCCGTTATGATCATCCAAGGTTAGCTGGAGCTAATGATTTGCATATGAAAGACAGCTTTTTAATTGCAGCGGTCAGCACATACACTTACACCAACACATCGGTATGCATCTGATATTCCAAAGTCCCACCTAGAAGATGTTTCACCTGTGTGTGCGTGTGTGTGTGTGTGTACACATCCCCCAAAAAGACTTCAAAACAAGAAAAAAGGAAAAACATGCAACAAAAATACCTTCGTCTCGAGGCTTGTTCATTGAAGATTCATCGTGTTTTTTTGTGAGCGGACCTAGGGTTAAGAAAAAAAGGGGGGAAAAAGAGAAAAGAGAAAATTTCAAAAAAGATTACTGGCAAAAACCGAAAAAAAGAATATCAAAAAAAGAAAAGAAGCAAGAGCAAAAAGGACAAATCAGCAAGAGTTCATGTTTGCTTATTGTGTGTGTGTGCGTGTGTGTGTTTTTCCTTTAAAAAGAGTACCAAAAACAAAAACAAAAGGCATCACAGACACAGATTTATCACAAGAAAAGACACAAGATCAAAGAAAACTGGTTCGGATTTCCTTTTCTCCCCCTGCAGAAGAAAATGCTGCCACTGTTTCTGGGCCCCTGGTTTCTCTCTCGCCTTTAAACCCTTTTTTTGTTCCTGAGTCTAACTTGTATTGTTTTTGTTGGAAGCTGGGTGGGTGGAAGGGAAAGGAGGTGGAAGGTCGGGGTTGGGGGTTGAGGAAGAGGGGGGAAAAAGGGAATGTGGATTAATAAGACCTCGGTGGTTTGAAGAACAGGACCCAGCCCTTTCCTCCACGCAGAAAAAAAGAAGAAAACACCTACAGGACGGACGGCAGGTTTGGGTCCTGATGCTCAAACCTCAAAATGTTAACGCTGAGCCTTTAAGCAGCGAGAGCACCCCGAAAATCTCCACGGGCTGCTGCACAACATTAGTCAATTAGAGCTTTTTAGAAAGACACACAAAGACACCTTTAATTAGACAGCAGGAGACAATGACCCTGGAATGTTAAAAGGCATGTTAAACATGTTTCAGATAAAACAGGGAACAGGTGCTTTAGCGTTTTGGAGGGTTTTTGTGAGCGCATGTGTGTGTGTGTGCATGTGTGTGCATTATTTAGTGGGTAAACCACAGCGTTATTCCCCAGGCGGGTAAATAATTACATAACACAACAGCAGTGTGTCAATTTGAAATGACAAGTAAGCGTGGTACTAATTGCGCAGAGGAAAGCAGGTAAAAGGTGAATGTAATTTGATCCCCATCTACCCACGGGCTGTTTTTTTTTTGTTTTTTGTAAATTAAATGAGCGGCAAAGAGAAATGCAAAAATGCAAGAAGATGGACAAAGAGAGAGATCTGCACAGAGAGAAATCAAAGAGAGAAAAAAACAAACCCTTCTCATTCGTTGATGGAGCCTCACTGTGACATCAAGTCTTTTTCTTCATCAACACAAAGTGAGAACTTTACCAAAAACTACTCTGTAGATCTCGTTGGCTTTATCTTCCACCCACCTGTCAGGTTGCTTCGGTCACGTCCAGCTCAGATCTCACAGGGGAAAAAAAAGGAAGACAAATGCTTTTTCTAGTTCCAGCAAATGCTACGTGTGCATATGGTTCGCCTCGTCTCTCAGAAGGTGAGCATTTGTAGAAAATACTCTTCACCTCGGCGCTCAGAAAAGTAAGTACTACAGCAAGATACTCCCTCACCTTTCATCACTTTGGCTTTCATCTGATAAATCCACTTTTTGAACTTGAGGTTTGGCAGAGGACCTTTTTTTCTGAAGGATTTGTGGGGAAAAAAAGAACTTATATAACAACAACTTACTGAGAGTATCTGAAATTCATCAGGGAGGAAATATTGCCGGTGCACAAACTACAAGGTGAATGCTGAATGTCAATTATCTGCTAACAACCAGGCAGATATAAATGACTAAAGTCTAAGGAACACTTCACCTCCAAATAGGAGATTTCAAAATAAAAGTCTTTATGAAACTATTATAACAACTTTTAGAGCTGAGTAACATTATGTTTGGAACTATGATGAAAACAGCGGCGGTTAAAAAAAGATATCCGGTCTTTAAGTCTGACGTCATTAGCCGTTTCTGGGTCCAAACTCCGCTTCAGGTCCCAAAGTCAAACGAACACTGTGGCATCACTGAGAGTTAAAAACGTATCTAAAACATATCTAAATTATTTCATCTGTAATAAAATGATCAGTGTTGCTGCTCTACCAGGTGTAACAATTAACTTTAACATTTAACAGAGTCAGAAGCTAACAGGGAGTTAGCTCGCTAGTTTCCACCTAAACACATTATTTCAATGTTCTGACTGAGAGATTTCTGAAAAATGTAATACATATAGTTCTGCTGTCACTTTCCACATAAATGAAGAAAGAAAACTAAACAGCAGTGACGTTTGTAGGGTTGCTGAAGTTGGGCTAGCTGGTATATAATGATGTGCTACTTGGTGGCTAGCTACACAGCTATGTTAGCATAATATAAACACAGCGAAGCTGGAGGATGAACGCTAACTTTTTTCCACTTGATAAAAGTTAACATGAGGGTTCCCGATGGTTAGGGACAAATGCAGGATGCTGTAAATGGACAAAACTTTAGTCAGGAGAACAACTGAGATAGTCCATCCACAATTCGAGGTTAGTCATTGATATGCTGCTGCATGGGTTGAGCTGTTGTTACATCGTAAGGTTTTAAAAGCTTTAAAATGAATAGTGGTAATAAAAACCAAGAGAGTCCAACAGTGATCACTGACTTTTTTAGGGGCTTGTTCAGATAAGTAGAATAAGATACAAAGCATTAAAACATGTGAAAAACACAACAGCCTTAATAAACAAGGAGTAGTTTGGACCCAGAAGCAGGGTTCATACGTCATCACTTAAAGACCAGATAGAGAGCAAGTTACAGCATTATAGAAAGGAATTATAAAAAGATAAAGAGCTCATCTTCCCTGTTATTATAAATATGTATTTAATATTTTTGATTTTTATACTTTAAAATGTGGCTGACTTGTGCTTCTTTAACCCTGTAAAGCCTGAACTGTTAAATAATTACCAGAAAATTCTATTTTTTTTAATATGGAGTGTGTTTTTTTTGTAACTTCAGACAATAAAAAAAATAATTAAATAACACTTTATATATGTGTGTTTTAATTTGTGTCACTTTTTAGTAGTTTGCTCACAGTAGCACTTTGTGTGTCTGAGAGTACACATCAGGTTTTTCAGGACAAGAAAAATCACACGGGAGATGTAGAGGTCTCAAAAACTCATGTATCAAATATGATATGCGTTCCATTACAAGGCTAAAAGTGTTTCAATCTAGAATGTGTTACATTGCACCAGATTTATAGGCACAAGGTCAGGGGTGACGGTATACATCACAAGTGTCAAATTCAGTTTCAACAGCAGCTACGCTGGAGCAATCATATCAAGAGCTCAGTGCATACAGTTTAACATGCTTTCATTTTAATCTAGAAAGGATGTTTCTTAGAGCCTTTCCAGTTAAACGCCTCACAAAATACTCTATTAGTTTACAACAGCCCTGTTCACAGCCTCACTTTGATAGTGCGGGGCAATTAATAAAACCAAATATAACCCGATTATAAAGCAATCAAATGAATCTTTATGTGCACATCTGTCTACAAATCTTAGCAAGCCTGCTTCAAAGGCCTGAAAAAGACCAAGGCATCTCAACAGTTGTGTAAGAAATGTCATTTAAAACAAGAAGTCAGAGATCTTAGTTCATGTAATATACATGTCCACACGCTGTAGCTTTCTGCCATTAAATTGGTCACACACAAAAATGACACTTGCCTTCACAGCTCCATCACTTTGAGACTTGGGCTCAATGCACAGACTATTGTGCTGTAATTGCGCGTCTTTTATGTCTTTGACTTTGTGAAGCCTCTGTTCCTCGTCTATGGCTCCAAATCTTTACTAGTGTGTGGATTTCAAACAGCACAATAACAATGCGAGTTATGTTGTTTGAGAACAGAAACTGTTTGCACCAACCCAACATCAGATTTTTGCTGTTAGCTGGCCATGAATCGCTGTGGAGACGGTTGTTGGTGTGTTGGTGTGCTAAAAGTGAAATGTGGGCCAGGTTCAAACTTACAAAGGGCCAGATCTGGCCCGTGGGTGTGGATCCTGACACATGATATATAGAACTGTAACTCAGAGACATGGATTTACAATCCGAGCGAGGTTAGGACAGAAGGATTCATCATGCGGACAACATTATGCTTTTACGAAAGTTCATGAAAGTCCTCCAGCAGCTAACGCTGAGCTCATCTGACATATACAGCCTTACAACCTCCACATTAGTGTAGTGCCAGCCTACCACACAAAGTACAGTGGAGGTAGTATTTAAGACCATAACACGTACAGGTGAAACAGTGAACGTGTTACAGTTGCTGACTTTTTTTGGTAAAAACATGGATTTCCTTCTTAACCCTTTAAGACCCAAACTCTTCCACAGCATGCATTTTTAATTTCTCTTTGATATTTGGTCACATTGGGGCCCAATGAATGTAAAAACAAAGAATTACCAGATTTTTTTTTTTACCTTATTTTTGTTTTTAATAAAAATAAGAGCCACATATGAGGATATTCATTTAAAATTGTGATAGAACAGTAGCAGTATAATGTCCTCATAAGTGGATATCAGGCCCTTGTGGAGCAAAATTTAGTATTTTGGTCTAAATAACCCAAAATGTGATGTCCACATATGTGGACACCAGGTCCTAGGAGGTTAAACACAATTGAAGTACTTACATTTTAAAATACAAACTGCTTTCTTGTTTTGAGTTAATTATTAGAAAAGACCTGACAGATGTCTCCAAGCAACAAAAAGAGTTATGATGACTAATTTAATGGAAACTCGAAGACTGATGACCTAAAATCAGAAGGTTATAAGTATTTAATTAGTATCTACTACATGGAAGCTGATTTTTCAAACATTTCCACTTATATTTAAAATCCTGAGGGTGAAACATCTTTTGTAGTATTTCCAAACTAAAAACAGATTTTGCTTATACAACAAAAAATCCTGGGAGCTGAGAGTCACCGGTTAGATCCTTGAGAATGGAAACTCTTTAGTGGAAACAACACCAGTGGAAACCTGAGTAAACTCCATCCGTTTGTTGACACGCGTGGATTTTTTTTTCCCTTTACTGAAACACATGAGAGTAAAAATAAGCCCCTGACTGACCGCTTCATTGATGAAGTTCAATATTAGCTGTGGGCACAAAAAGTCAACCAATGTGATTGAC